AGTCGCGAGAGTCTAAATGACCCTTAAACCCTCATCCCTAAATCTATGATCCCTCACCCGAACTCTCCGATTGAGCCGGTCTGCAGGTGACGACTGCATCTGTGCCCTGCTTCGCGAGGTTGCCGCGGAAGTGGGCAGGGGTTGACTTAGAGGCTGAGTAGGTGACCTTTAACTTTTTGGGGCTTATATAATCCTACTATAATTCAAAACGTGAACCTTTGTTGGGCTAGGGTACTCAGCCTGTAAGTTAAGGTTCAGGGTGAGGATTTCAAGGCTAGGACTTGGGGCTTAAAAGGTTTAAGGTTCAGGGTTTTTTGGGCACACATAGGTGTAAGAACCGAGTCGCCCAATGCTCTTGTTAAAGAGCTGTATACCTGAAACCATGAAGCAGCCTCTCCCATGTAGCGAGTTTCACCAGGTTTAGTTGAGTTCGTCGACTCGGATTTCTGTCAGAGCTTCCGGTGTTTTTTGTTGCTGTTCTGTTGCCGGTCTTGTTGTCCTGATGAATGCCATAGTGTTATGCTAGGATGCTGGGTGTGAGGCTGATGGAAGTGCATCGGGGGAGACACCAATATATGCTTGAACACTTCATCTTACGAGATGCCCTCAACTCAAAGCTTCAAGTCAGCAGAGTCTGACTTCGGAGTTCGTAGTCGTCGTAGTGCTGTCATAGTTGGGTTCTACCCTCAACGAAGTATGGATCTTCGTATCTTGTGCTAGCACAATGGCCTCGGAATGCATTTTTCATGAGTTTCGGCCTACATCAAAAAGCAACAATTAGGTTTTAGGTTTGGATGGTTTTTGTTGCCTTAGGCAGTGTTTCACCGGAAAAGCCTTGACACAATCAGTCGTTGACAGCTGATGGCCGCAGTAGGAGGCACTGGCCTCGAAGCGACCTTGTCGCAAGATACGTACGCCTCTACACTATTCCCCCGCCAACCCTAAACCGTATACACCTCAAACCAGACCCCAAATTGTGTTTACTTCACACCCCTAAAGTACCTACGTCGGGACAACTTTACGGCTAAAGCATATAATGTTTGGGCACATGGACCCAAACAGGGACAGAGCCAACATAGAGACCTTTCCTTCGGCAGTAAAAGCTGCAGGGCCGCCATCGCCTCGGCGGTTTCGCCGTGCCTCCCAGCAGCTGCGGCCTCGCCCCTCGGAGGAGAACGTCCAGCGTTCTTCAGGTTTTTTTTTAGGTTTTCACATGTTTTAAGGGTTTCTTCAGGGTTTTGGTAGGTTTTCATATGCTTTAGGGGTTCTGGCAGGGTTTTATGTGGCTTTGTAGGGGCAGACAGGGGTTTGTTCTAGGTTCGTGACGGGATCTGGTTTCTATGGGGTCTCTCGACAGCGGTCGGACTCTAGGGCTGTGGGACCTTGCAGTAGGGTTTGGGGGTTCAGCGTTGTAGCCACGTTGCCCTCTAAGTGGTACCCAGGGCTGTCTTTGCTGGCCATATATGTCCTGCTGAAGTTACTCATGTTCTTTCATACGACTTCTTTGTGTTCAGACCAAGAGGATTCGGCCCGGGTCCTGATGCTCAGGTTCCGCTGGGCGGCCCTGCACCATGGCGACGGAGCGAATAAATTACAAGTAACTCAGTACTCGCTGATGTTTTTCATTTGTGAGGGTTTTGGGAGTGCGCTTATGGCGCAAGGTTCAGAGTTTGGGGTCCGGATCTATGGTGAAGTCGTCGTTGTAGCTCAAGCAACATCTGGTCTCTTTTCTCTTCAACTCTTCGAACTCCTGTTCCAACTTCTGGTTGGCTCCTCCCTAGCTTTTCAGAGAGTTTTACAATGCTCGGTTTTCCTTCTTCCTTCTCTTTTTCTTTAACTTACTGTTGCAAGCTACATCACGGGCAGCGACTGCCGCTTATGCTCAGATTCGTTGAGATGAGAGTGTCGTGTGAAAACGCTTACGCGAAACCCTACACCCATTATAACTTAACCGTTCTGTCCCGGAACCCATATGACCCTAACCCCTAAACCCTAAATATTCGCCAAGCCCTGGGAACTTAAGCCCTTTGTAGCAAGTGACGGCGCTCCCTGGCATGAGGTCAAGGCATCGACGAAAGGCTTGCATTGGGATGTGGAGGACCGCCAGTTGAGAGCATCCTGCAGACATTGATCCGTCCCTTCTGTAGCCATTAACCTGAAGTTTTGCTGGGTTTCTGCAATCCTAGTCCAGGTTGCTCTGGTTCGGGCTGGGGCTATATCTCTCAATAGGCCCATATTGGGTCTCCGATAGAAAGAGTCCCAATCTTTCTGCAATGTTTAAGAAATCTCGGGCCTGCATGTGTCTCATATTGATTTCCTAGCAACCCACAACCCAAAGCATGGTTGATCGACGATTTTTTGGTTTTCAGCTATACAACCCTTGAAAAGAAACCTTTATTTCACAGCCCTACATCCACCCTTTCATCGGACCCACGTAACTTTGACGCTTTAGAACCCGTTCTCGAACTTTTGCATGCCCTTATGAAGCGCTATAGTCTAAGCCCTGGTAAGCCTTTGTAGACCCCTTATGAAGACCTCACAATAAAACCCCTCAGCGCTCAACAAATCCTTTGAGACCCTGCAATTCAACGCTTGTTTCCCAGTTACAGAAGTGGTATAAATCCTATACCAAAACCCTGTAGCAAAACCCCGCTAGAAGCTTCGTAACTCTATATAAAACCCTGTAGCACCCCATACTGAAACCGTTTAACACCGTTACAACCCCCTGTTAAAGCTCCTAGAACTCTTAGTTTAGCACTCCCCTATATAAAGCTTTGCAAGACAACCCTCTCTTAAAGCTTTCCACGTAGCAATCTCGGACACTTAATGCCATGCCTGCAGTTGCGAGTGTGTGAGTCGAAAGCCGAAACGCCGAAAGACAAAATCAAGCTGCGCAGCGCAGAGGATGCAGATCTGGAGTGGGGCGGTTCTCGGCCTCAGCTGTCCAGGTTTTTGGGGTTTGTGGTTGCAGGGTTTTGGGGATTTGGGGCAAAAGGGTTTTTGAAATTTAGGGTTTATGGCTGCAGCGTTTCGGGGATTTGTTGTTTTGGGTTTCGGACTTTGGTGTTTCGCGGTTTTGGGGTTTAGGGTTTGGGGGATCATGAGTCTAGAGTTCAGCGTTTAGGGTTTGTTCAGGGCTAACGCGGTAGTCCAGAGATTTCCCTTGGCTAATCCATGGTGCGGTTTACATAGGGTCAGACGGTCAGGAAGGTAGGCATTAGCAGGTTTGCAGCGTTTTTCCCAAAGTCGCCTAAAGTTGTACTTAGAGGTTAAGGTGCCGCAGTAAGTAGGATAATTTGCACCTCAAGTAGGGTATCAGTAGATTTAATTTTTGCACCCTGCTCATATAACCCTCTTTGCTAACTTCCCTTTGCAAGTAGGGTTTAAAGGGTCAGAGTTGTAGGTCGCGGGGACACTCTAAACCCCCTCCTGAGGTCTCATCAGCACCAGCAACTGCTTGGACTCGAAGGGCGATGGCTTCGTGTGGGTTGATACGACCGGACCTCTCTTATGGAAACCCGGCGCAAGCTTTCGATTCTTGGGCTTGGCGCTTATAGGGTTTGGGGCTTCGGGCCCCCGTCAAAGGCACTCGTGGTGGGTAGGGGTCGGGCCCGGGAACCTGCAGATGTCACCCTTTGACCGAGACCTTGTCGAACCTGCCTCGGCTTGGCTGTCCGAGTTGGCCCTAAACCCGAAACTCTAAGACTCTAAGCCCTATGTCCAGATAGTGGAAGATCAGGCTGTCCAGTCTGAGGCTTCAGCCCGTGTGCATGAAGCGGGGTGTAGAGGAAGTCGGCGTGGGTTGAAGCTTTGAGGAGATGGTTATTCGGATTTGGCAGGTAAGCAGGTGCAAGAAGAGTGCATGCGCTTAGGTGGGAGTTAAGTCCTATCCGTTTACACATCCCAACTAGACATGTGCATTTAATTGAAGATATATTGTTTCAAGCCTCGGGTCCGGATCCAGCCATGAACACCCAAAGCCCTCAATTCACCTTAGCTCTACCCTGAGCCTTCCGCCTGAGCATACAAGCTGAACTCAGGATGTGCAGCCGAGCACGCCCCAAAGTGGAATGAACAAAAAGGGCCGCTGCAATCCGTATCGCGGCGCTCTGCGTCATGTATGGCTGTAGCTTGTAGGTAATGGTGGTACAGGGCTCAGGTATCTTCAACCCCCTCCCTCCGAAGCGATACAACAAATTTGGGTATCCTTTCAATGGATTCGCTATGTTCGGTAAGCTTCTTTTGCAACGGGTGCTTTGAGGCTGATACTTATATATCTTGCAACCCTCTACGCATGGTGCCCCGTGGGTTTAGCGTATTGACGTGTAAGGCTTCGAAGCTGTCGGACTGTAGGGCCAAAGGGCTTTGAGGGCTGTAGATCACTCTGCCGGGCCATGCCACATCCGTCACTGCATCGGAGTATCAGAAAACGGAAAGCCTTACATTCGCTACAGGGGCCCCTTTTAGCATCCCTTAAAACGAACCCTAAAAACCCCTCAAGGGTTAAGAAGATTATCGGATCCTTGCAACGAAAGACCTTCGAACTAGGGAAGCCCCCATTTACGACAAAACCGCACGTGCATCTTTCTTTGGAAGGGGCCGACGTTGCGTTTTGCGGTGTCGGTTTAAGGGTTTAGGGTTTATGGTTCAGGGAGGGGTGTTGGGTTTAGGTTTCATAGAGATTATGCGATGGATCTCCTTGCCAAAGTGCCATAGTGGCAAAGACTCGGGCTGCCCGTGTGTTAGTCATGTTCTCTGTTCTCATTGGTTGACTACTAAAGAACCTCCTGTCACCGATCACCGCTGCTGTTACATATGGCAACGACCATTGCGATTGCTATTCCTGCCACAACTATGTGCAGGGTTCTTGCTCTCATGTGTTTGCTGTGCATCCTGAGGTGCTGCTTTTTGATCACTGGCCCCTCCGCAGTTCGCGGCTTGCAGCACGACGCAGTAGATAGACCTCCCTGCCCCAAAACCGCAGCACAGCCTTTGCAACCATGGGCATTGTCTTCGGCATCATTCACGAGGAGCCTTTCAGGGCTTCGCGCGCTCAGGTTTGTTCAATTCTGCGCTTGGGATTTGTTGATTCTGCAAGAGAGCACTGCAGTGAGCATCAGGTCAGCACCATTGAAGGCATCGGGAGATGAAGAAGTAGACAAGTCCTCGAAATTCGCGACGAGAGACATCTCAGGAGCTAGCGCTAAATCCATTGATGTGAGAGGCCTGCAGCAAGACGGCTACTTGCCCGCAGTGCATGCAAAGCCCTGCACGAGTGCAACTAAACCCCATGGAGACTTCTGAGCCCTGACCCCGAAAGCCTAAAGCCCAAAGCCTCACCCGAATCACCAAAAACCAAGCGGCAGGAGATGCCTGAGTACAAGATGCTCGGCAGCCCTCGGATTGATCTAAAAGCCCAAAACCTAAAAGAGCAGTGATTTCGAGAGGGCACATCACTACTCTTTAAGTTTTAGGCTTTTGGATCTAGGGGTTTAGGCCTGAGACCTGCGCGGTGGTTTGGTTTAGGGTTTAGGGTGGTGTCAGCCCCGAAGCGTCTCTTGACACCCCTAGTCCGACCTCCCAATGCGTTTAGGGTTTTGGGTTAAGGTCTGGAGGCGAGCGCTTAGGAGCTTTTGGAGTCAGAGGATGCAGGATTTAGTAAGTAGGATTATGAGTAAGGTAGCCGTAGTTATCTCTACGAATAACCCTACTTGTCCCTAGTTTCTAAGTCTGAGGTCTTATCTAAGTGTTACCGTTGCCCTACACAGCTTGACACTCAAAGCGAGGCTCCATTTTGCTTGCGCTTTACAACTGCCTCAGTCCTACATGTCATCAGGCATATTAGTAAGACAGCAGCAGTAGTAGAGAAATGCGATGTTGCTTTACTTTTCAAGGCTCGTCGAAGCTTTCAGTGGAGGCTTAGAGCCCTTAGGGCTTCGGTGGAGGATGGCTCCTTTTATGACAAAGACCCGACGTAGGCTTCAAGGGGTTTTGCTGGAAGAGCCATGAAGCATGATCCCATTACGGTTTCCTTGTACCGGTTTAGAAGCATGAAGATGTTTGAGGCCTGTGCTGCAGACATTTTGACTTTAAGTTTCCGATCCTGTTGTTCCCTAAACTCCAAACCGTAAACAATCAAACCTAAACCCTAAACCCCTTAAGCCCTAAACCCTACTCTAAACGCCAAAGCTGCTTGAGCCCCATAACTCTTGAAGCCTATAAAGCCATCCTCAGGCCATGAGCCCCCAAGCTACAGCCACCCCGAGCCATCGAAGCCTTAGAAACCTAGGAACCCTTAAGGGAACCCTGAAACGGAAACCCAAAAGGAAGCCCTCAAAGAAACTCTTGAAGGAATCCGTAAGCATATAGTCTTAATAGTACTTCTTGGCGTTCTTCTGCTAGGCTCTTAGGACTTTTATTTTTGAGGTTTCTATATGAACTATAATAGGTAGGCCAAAAGTTTAACTTTTAGGAGGGGTTCAGAAGACACAAGAAGCTTCCAAAGGAGGTTTGGGGGAATCCTGCTAGGATGCACGGCACCGTGGGCGGCATGCAGTGCCGCGAGTATGCACCCTCCTGGGTCGCAAAGGCCGGCTTCCTTAAAGTTTTGGGGTTTTAGGGTTTAGGGTTTTTGGGGGGCCCGTTCGGTTGTGCCTTTCTTTCTGCAGGATCGACCCCATGGTTTCTGTGCATGTTCGTAGGTCAGTTTGATCAGCATCAGATCTTGCAGAAGGCCTCTTACTATTCTAAACTTCCGAAACCGGGTAGCACAAACCCCAAGCCTCAAAGCCATGCAGACAACAGTCAGTTCTTCGAGACTCGTGACGGAACTACGCATGCGTGACTTCTATTCGCTCCGGCAGACCTTTCAACCCGAGGACGCAGAGCCTCAGGTCTTCGAGCCTTATCCCTGAAGGGCATTATAGGGGCCTAAATAGATACCTATACTATTTTGGGGGTTCCTGATTTTAACTACAGTATAATATACCTCAAAACCTTATTCTATTTATTAAAAACAAAGGCCCCTACAGCATTGCGTCGCATGCGCTGAGGTGTGTTCCGATGACTACCCAGATGCCAAGACGGATGCTCGCACCTGCATTCATTATGGAGCAGACATTTTGTTGATTGCATCTAGTAACTGTACCCATGAGATCTTGGTATAGGCTGCTGATCCCGCACGTCAATCTGCCGGGCAGGTTGCTTACATGATCTTGCCCCAACCCTGTCTGCCAATCTCCTCTGTCCAACAAGTGACATGTCTTGGTCCCCGACCCTAGTTGGAACCCAACTGACCCAGTCCGCCAAGCCATACGAGTCAAACCTTAAGTGTCCAAGTATTCGGCACCTTCCTGGGCCCAAGTATGAAGAAGCATGAAGAAACCAAGCTGAGACGGTTTAGGGTGTGTGTGACGGTTTAGGAAACTCCAAGCGAGTCCCCGCACTCTGATTCCGCACTCAGGAGAAGAAGTTCATGAACGAAGCCTTCTGGACCCTTGCTGGGTACATCGGTGCCGTGTCGGAGCCAAAGAGCCTTTCTTTGCAGAGAGCTGGTTTAGGGTTTAGGGTTTAGGGTTTAGGGTTCAGGGTTTAGGGTTTAGGGAGGCTCCAGGTTTTTCTGGCTTGATGTAGGGGGCCTCAATGATTACCTATACTATTTTGGGGGGCTCCTTCTTATAATCATGGCAGACTGGGCCCCAAAACCCTATTCTAATTATTAAGGGCCCTATATTGGGGTTGTAGAAGACTTTGGGTGTCGAATTTGGGGAGTCGGCCTTATGCTGATTCCGAGATTATCTTGCAGCGTTTCCTCTTCGACCCTCGGCCCCTTGGTGTTGGGGAGAGCACGGTTTAGGGTTTAGGATGCTGCAGGAACGATGTGCTGCGGTTGATGGACAAAATCCTGCATTACCCACTATAAGGAATATACCATAGTTCCCATAGTTTAGGGTCCTTAAGGTCATGCAGGATTTTGTCCATCAACCGTGTCACATCTTGGGGGCTGTAGCTCTCCATTAGCATGTGCACTGTCTTGCCGGGGCTTTCTCACAAGCCCACCGAGGAACCAATCCATGAAGACGAGCGACAAGGAGGCAGGGGCCACGAGCCCTCATGCAGTGTAGGGTTTAGCTTTGATGCTTCCTTAGCCCCACAGAACCTGCCATGTTAAGCACCTACGCAAGGAAATCAGAATAAGGAACCTCCAAACCGCAGGTTTTGTAGGATTCAGGTAGGCTTTAGCGTTTTGAGCCTCGGGTTCAGGAACCCTAAACCCTAAACCCTAAACCCTAAACCCTAAACCCTAAACCCTAAACCCTAAACCCTAAACCCTGATCAGGATCAGACCATCGTCGGGCTTGCTGTAGCGTGAGTGCTTAAGAACCGTGGTTCCGACTGTACCGCACCCCAGAGCTGAGCAGCCGATTCAGTCAGAGAGTTGTATGATGGTATAGCAGTCCAGCTAATGATCGATTCCTCATGTATTTCGTAATTTTCAGTGTGGCATAATGTATCCCTCAACCCTATTCGAATTGTGCTAAGCCCCCTACATCAGGTGCGCGGGCCTGTGGTTCCGAAGGTACAAAGGTTTCAAAACTTCACGAGCTGCCAGAGCCTGAGTTCCCCCAGACAGTGTACGAAGTAGCATGGCAAGGTTTAGGGTTTAGGCGCAGTTGCAGAATCTGTGCTTACTAAGAGACGGATGTCTAGATGCCCCGAACGCCAGAGCCACTAACACCTGACACCTGACACCCTTCACGATGCGCGTTTTCCGTGCTGGGGGATTTACCTTGAAGGTCTCCCTGAATGCATTGTATGTTCTCAACATGAGAGCATTCGGACAAGGATATCTGTTAATTCGTATGAGCACCTAGTACCTATGGTCTCCATTGTAGTTCCGTTTTGGGGATACCTTATAAAATCCTTTATATATATATATAACTATTTATTTATATTTGGCTAAACCAAAAAAGGAAACTACAATGGAGGCTATATAGGCAGGGTCTGTTTGTGTTGGTTATGACCCGGCCCTTGAAGTAGGCGATTGCAATGACCGCTCCCGTGGTGATGTCCAACAACGAGAAGATCGCAATGACGGCACCAGTGGCAACCTGGCAGCTACAAAGCTCAAGGGTTCGGGTTTAGAAGTTTAGAGCTTTAGGGTTTAGGGCCAGTTTAGGGCCTAGGGATTGTAGCAGTCTCAAAAAAACAAAACAGGACCCCAGAAGAACTGGATCTTGAGGCGCGAGGCTTCCATGCATCCTTTCCAGAAACCAGATTTTGAGAAACGCCCATAGTCCTACTGCTGCAGCCGGACCGGCCCAGTGCGGCACAGGTCATGACCTCCAGCGAGGCCATTGCCATGACTGCCCCGGTAGTGATGACGGAAGCTTGACATGGAGGGGGAAGGGTGTTGCTGTTCGCGTGCAGATTCTCCGGACACTTGTTTGACGAGGGATTCGCTCTAGCAACGGATTAGGAGTTTAGGGCTTAGGGTTCCCGAGGATAGCAGCACTTCGGGGGAAGCCTCATCTTGTGCTTGTCCGTGATAGTTGTTCCCGGGGAGGCACTGAGTGATGTTTCCAGTTTCGCCGGCTGCCTAAAGTGCTTGAACCTACTTGAATATAGGTAGATTCTAACTTAGGGTCCCTTTTAGGGCCCTTATTATAGGGGCGCCGTACAAACTTGGGGACCTGCGCATATAGTGAGGGGAAGCTACTACACACGGCCAAAAGGATTGCCAAAACCGTACAAAGCGCTATGGAACCCCGAAACCCTCTCAAGCCATAAATAAAAGCCCTGCTAAACGGCTCCACGGACCCACCATTTCTTTAAATAAATAGAGCCTTATGGTATATAGGCTTCGGGGCTTTGATAAATTACCAGCATTATTCTGGGGCTCCTTATTATGATTAGAGTATAATGTTTTTCCCAAAACCCTCTACTTTACAGCCCAGGATGACTCGCAGATGGCTGGCAAGACCATGAGCTCCTCGACAAGCATCTGTTTTTGGGTGGGTTGCTATATATAAGTACCAGCATCAGCTGTTGATCTTTCCCTAGTTCGACACTGGCAACCGGCCACATGTCTCGTCGAAGTGATTACCGAAGGCGAGTTCGGAACATGCCTGTGAAAAAAGCGGGGTCTACGGAGCGCACCGAGACGATATTGCCCTCATGAGATTCCAAGATGATGCTGAGAGTGCCTGAGCCCGTTCTTTCCGGAGGGAGAGCTGAGACCGATTCCTGCGGTGGGACCCCTAAACCCTAAACCCTAGTACCGGTCAAGCAAACCTGCAAAGTGTCTCCCCCGTTCAGCCATGGATCCTCGCCTGGCATGTCCGAGTTGTGAGAGCGTAAACCGGACACCTTGCAACCATCAGCTTCAGGCTTCGTCCTGCCTTCAAAGTATCTCAAGAACCAGGACCCGCAGTCAAAGGGTCCTTAAGGTTCCCTGGTCTGCTGGATCAGTTGCCATCGAAACCTGTAAAGATCCTATATGTGGAGGGTTTCCGGATATCGGAACTGGAACATGTGTACCCGGTGGTGGTTATAGATGGCTGTTAAATCCCAAATATCTTGATTCTGAAGAAGGAATGCAAAACGGGCCGCGGCCTGCCACCCTTCTCTCTGCAACATGGGTAGTTTTCTAAATAAGGGTCCCTTTTTTAGGTCCCCAATATAGTACGGCACCCTTATAAAAGGGACCCTAATTTAGAGAACTACCCACATGTCTCAGCATCCATGTTGAAAGGAGCAGCCCCCGAAGCCCATGGATGGCCGCGTGAAGATCGAGCAGATCCCTAGCCGCCCTCTGACGCAACAGTCCGGGCTTGGGATTCATAGGGAGTTTAGGGTTTAAGGTTTTGGATTTAGGGTTTAGGGTTCTAGGTTTGGTTCTTAGGACCTTGAGTGAGCTTCGTCACAAACGTCATAAGTCATCATTTCCAAAATCAGAGGTCCCTTGCCTAGACTGTTTTTTTTGGCACAGCTTCCTTTAATGCAAGTGGCTGCGGCTGTCACACATGCGCAGCAGGGCGGTGAAAAGGTTCAGGGGCCGGAGGTCAGCATCTCGGAAGGACCTCCTCTGGGGCAGAAATCCCAGCAGGCCTCCGACATGTTGCGAAACGAAGTCAAAAGCTGCCAAGCCCCAATCCCCAAACCCCTTCAGATAAGATTTTGGGTTTATGGTTTGAGGTGGACCCTAAACCTTAAGCCCTAACCAACAGTGCCGGAAGACTGAGAAAATCTCAGCAGAGGAATCGCGCTGGTGAGCACCTTCTCGGGCTTCTCCAGCCCTGACCGGGCCAAAGGAATGGCAAGCAATCTGCCCCCTGATCTGAAGTTCGAGGTTCCTGAGTAGTACCCGTTTGCCCTTTTTATTTTGGGGTCTCCTTATTAAAACCGAATACCAGTAAAAAAGGGTGCCCTTATTATTTAGGGGTCGCTCAGGAACCTTGAGTTAATAGCGGGGCTTTAATAATTACCTATACTATTGTTGGGGTTCCTTATTATGCTTATAGTATAGTCTACCCCAAAACCTCTCATTAGCAAGGCCCCTACATTATTCGGGCTACACTGTTCCTCAGGGTTCGCAGTTCTGTATGTTGTCGCTGCGGTGTTGCAATACAACACGTTACCAAGTGCTACAGTGTCAATCCTGCGACCGTTTAAACTATTTATAGTGCATTACACCTTCCGCGTGCTTTCTTGCTGCTTCCCTGCGCACAGAGAGAGAGAGACAGAGCACTACTGTAAGTATCCAGGCCCCTGTATCAGTCCTTTTGTTTTCTGAACTTTCTGCAACAATCATGGGATTTCGTACGTCGTCAGTACAGTTGTAATTAGGGGTAACTAAATGTTGCAACTATTCATAAGGTACTCACAGCCATACTTACTAAGTTACCAAGCCCCTGGTCCTTTAAGTAGTGCGGTGTTTCAAAACGTCCTCACTGCGGGCTTCAGACCACACGATGAGACAGGGAGCCCAAATACCCCTTTACTTTAAGCAACATGCTCCAAACAATATTGTGGAGCGCGTTATTGAAGCGTTTTTCGTCACTACCTCTGCCGCAGACTCAGGATTGCCCAGGTGAAGGCCGCGTACCCTGGGGTGAAGCTGCTCGCCGCTGCAAGTGTGATGGCTTACGTATTCTTGACTAGACAGGACGGCCTTTGCCACTCACGTGCTCCAGAGAACAGGATATGTAGTTCAACTGTGGACATGTATTATCATGTGTTCGCACAGCACACACTCGTGGGGAGGCTGAGTTAAAGGAGAGCTTGAAAGTTTGGTGCTGCTGAGACATCCACTCGAAGTCAGAGGTCCTTAATAGCTAAACTTCAATGCTTTGGATTGAGACAAGTCTGTGATGTACGCCAGTCCCAACCGTCCAAGAGCACACTCCTCTTGACCACGGTGGCATGGGCACGATTCTCTAGTTTGTCCTCTGCTGAGCAAAGTTGTGTTTTCTGGCGACCCAGAAATTTCCGCACCTTGTCAGAGTTTGACACGCGCAAGACAAAATGCAACAAACTGGTAACGATCTTGTTGCCACTAGCCTCAGTACCAGTAACGGTGGCTATGACGTGACGGAAAACCGGGGCTAAACCTTTCCCTGCGGCCAAGGTTCGTGATGGATGAGGCCACGAATTCTCCCAAGTGGGCCGCTTGTCCGCTTGAGACGGGAGGCAAGCATCCAACCAAACCGTAGGCCTTGAAACTGATAACGCCAGGAGCTGCATACACCCCAGCCCTTGCGCCTATCAGGCCCGTATTTTTTGTGAGCTTTGGTCCCATCCATGCGAGAGGGAAAAATCAGGCCCGTAGGCGCTAAATCCGGCTCAGGATCTGGGAACTGGCGTAGGGAGTTTAACGATTTATGTAGGAGTGTTTCGAGGCTCTTCGGGTTTAGGGTGGCTGCTGGACTTTTTGACCGGGAGGGTTTGGGTATTAGTGGCGAGCAAAAAGTTCTTGAATGTTGCTGTTCTGTCCGCTTGATGTCATGGCATTGATCGGTCACCCTTGATTTCGCTGAATTAGGGTGTTCACAGCCCTTAGTCCATGGAGTGCTGTGACTACCAAGAGAGCCCGATACCCCTAAATTAAGGAATATACCTTAAATCCCAATATCAAGCACCCGATACTTTAAACCCTGAACCCTAACCCTAAACCCTAAACCCTAAGTTTAAGGTAGATTCCTAAGTAGACCTCTGGGTACCAAGGAGTAGGACATTTTCAGGTGGTAGGAGCCTTATAGAAGGTCTATATGCCTTATCGAAGCCTTATAGAAGCCCTATATACCCTGAACTCCCCACCTGTAGTTCCCTTTAACCCAGGAGTACTTCGGCTACAACCCGCCTTTCACTTTGCCCTGCTTCCGGACAAACGAAGTGGCGCTCTACCTGAGCGAAGTGTACCCTGGCATCGAGGGTTTATCTGTGCTGTGGGACGGGTTGGGGGCCTCTTCATTATCGATTATCATATCACTATGTCATGTTCTATTATGCTATTATGTTATATTGCATTACAGTATAGTATAGCATAGTATAGCATAGCATAGCATAGCATAGCAGAGCATAGTGAACTTAGTGTAGCACAGCACAGTGCGGTACAGTACAGCACAGCATGTTATTCCCTGACGTTTAGGGTCTTTGTTTAGGGCCGACATGAACGTAACAAAACCTACCTTTTTGGGGCTCCTCATTATGATTTCCTATTTAAATCCTGAAAATGAGGTAGGATGCAGGGCGTGGGGCGTAGGGGTTTAGGACCGCTACATGTGGGGAACCAAACGAGGTACCTTGTTTTAAAGCACTTCCCGCCGATGTCCGAAATGCCTCGTCTAGATAGTGGTTGAAGACTGGGAGTCATTGCGGAAGGCATCTCTCAGTACACCGCACGCCTGGTCAGACAGTACTAAATTTATAACGAACAGCAGAATGGCCATGCCCATCTTTGCTGGCTGGGAGCTGCTGATCATAGTTGGACGACACACGGAAGACAAGGTTCCTCGAACGCTTTTTGACATCCCACTTTTCAAGTTTCGGGCTATTCACACATCCAGGCCCGCACGCCCTGTAAACCCCGTTTCAGTAACCCTAACCCTATAGTAAGATGTGTCGAGCACCACAAGTCCTAGAGCCACAGAGCACCCTGGCACTTCGAAAAATAGCTGCAGAGACATGACATGGCTTCCCATCAACTCCGATGAGCCCTAAGCCCTAAATCCTAAACCCTAAACCCCTAATCCTGGCCTAAGCGCAAGATGCATCGCATTCGAGGTTCTTGGATTGCAGCCTGTCGAGGGTTTCGAGGTTTGGGGATCTGTGCTTCCACAAGCTCCCTAAAATAGGGACCTCAATGGTTGCCTTTACTATTTTTAGGGGTTTGCTATTATAGTATTCGTATATTCTATACCGAAACCCTATTCTGATTTTTGAGGTCCCTACAGTAAACTAGCGCCCCAGACTCCGAAGCCCGCGATTTAAGGCACCTAACCCGTAAACCATCTTAAAGAGGCCAGCCTGAAACGAGGCTAGATGCTCTGCACCTGCATAAGTTCTCTTCAAAAGTTCTAAACTCAAAAGCCCTAAACCCTAAACCCTGAACCCTAGACCCTAAGCCCTAATTCTAAATTCTAAACCCAAAAGCCCTAAACCCTGAACCCTAGACCCTAAACCCTAAGTCTAAACCCAAAAGCCGCAGAATGGGTCCGAAGCCGGGTTTTGAGCTGCAGGCCACCTGCGAACGTGCTGTCCAAGTGAGGGGTCTTCGCTGATTGAACCGGGGGTGGGGTTGCTAAAGGGATGAGGATTGTGTGACTTAGGATTATAGGGGTTATGCTGTTGGGGATGAAGTGGTGTATGTCTGAAGGAAGGGGCTGTGGCATTTAGGCCTTATGGTAGGACGCGGGAGGCCTACGATGAAGCAGGACCTGTGTGATTAGGAGATTTGGCGATGGCTTATGAGACTTAGGATTAAGTAGGGTTTGGGTGATGGATTAGAGGGTTTGGCACCAGGTTTGGTCCTACGGCTTGGGTGTATGATCTCCGGTTTGGACTATTGACGATGATGTCTGATTCGCGAGCTGTGAGATTTAAGAGGTATAAGGAGCTATATGCAGGGTAGAGGTGCTGGAGGAGGTGTCATATTCGGGGATCAGGATTCAAACAGAGCAAGGAATTGGGGTTAGGGTGATCGAGCCTGGGGTTCCATATGTTGAGATACTAGGCCATGCGACCTATGTTCGAGAGCTTAGGGCTCAATGTGAGGATTCGTGCAATGATCAGTGCTTGTGACTCTTCGATGTCACAACCGAGTACCTTAAACCCTAAACCCCGATGTAGGACTTTCCGAAAATAGGGGACCCTAATAGTGTACCCTAAATAGTAGGACCCTTATTATAAGGACCCCAAAAGAAGGAACCCTAATTTTTGGAAACTAACCCTAAACCCTAAACCCTAAACCCCGATGTCAGCAAGGTTCAGTCGAGACTTTGGGAGCGTCAGCTCTTCGGCATTAGGCTTGCAAGCCAGATCCTGGAGTTGGTGCAGCGCTTTCCTTCGTAGAACATGGCAAGCTGGGGTCCGTCAAGTTTTTCTCGTCTTTTTCCTATTCAATGCTGCACCCCTAAACCCTAGAACCCCAACCCCTCAAACCCTAAACCCTAAAGCCATAAACCCTCGAAGCCCCATACCCTAAACCCCTAAACCCCTTAGCCTTAAACCCCGAAACCCTAAATCCTAAACCCCTAAATCCCAAAACCCCGAGGCCCCGAAACCTTAAACCCTAAATCCCGGAAACCCCGGTCCTCTGCCACCGACCCTAAACCCTAGAACCCCAAACCCTCAAACCCTCAAACCCTAAACCCCTAAAACCCCGGAACCCTAAACCCCTGAACCCCGAAACCCCGAAACCCTGAACCCCTTTGCACTCGGACCTTCTTTCGGGATCTCCGCTTGGCCATGCCTTGATTTTCGGGTTTTTCGGGAGCAGACGCCGAGTCGTAGCTGGTCGGCCGGTATGTTTGAGGTGTCATGGTTTGGTTTAGGGTTTTAGGGTTTAGGATTCAGGATTTTAGGGTTTAGGATTTAGGGTTTCATGGAAACACGGAAATACTTTGCGTAAGTTGTTGGGGCCGCTGCGGAAAGTCGGTGGCTGCAGCCGCCATTCTTGTCTGAGATCCCTTTGTCGGCTGAACTCACTGCAGCTACATCTCTCCGGCTGAATTGGCAATCAGTAGGAACTGAGACCAGCATTCGTAAGGTGAATGCTTGCAGAAGTTTAGCGAGTGGTGTTCGTGCATTTTTCGAGCCGGGTGTGTGTCGAATAAGCCCACGTGCGACCTAAGACAACCGGCTCTCCGTCTCTGTTGGTGCCAGCATGACTCTTTTCGTGGTGTCAGAACGCAGGCTTGGGGGGAACGACGCTGAGCTGCTAACGCCTATGAACAAATTTGTGAGAACTGGTATTAATATCTGACTATCGGCTAGTGGCTGCTTTTTGTACTTTGCAGGATGTTACCACTTGAGTATGACGCTTGCAGTACAGTGCCCAAAGTTGCAGTTTTCCGCGAAAAGCTTTAAACAACAACCTGGCTCGAGGGCTTTGGACAGCCAGGCTCAGAACATGAGGGGGTTCCCTGATTACAGAAACCCTAAACCCTAAACCCTAAACCCTGATTACAGTACATTATTATGCTAACATGGCTAGCTTCCTGGGTAGTACCCTTTTGCCCTTCTTCTGGGCTCCCCTATTAAAACCAAATAGCATGAAAAAGGGTGCCCTTATAATTAAGGGGCTACTGGGGAACCTAGATGATTGCCCCAATCATAGCAACAGAAGTAGCGGCACTGTTGAGAATCGGTATATGGATTCCGGCCACGGTACTGGCTTGAATAGTGGTAGCAGTAGTCCCTCAACCCTGAGCCCTAAACCCTAAACCCCTAAACGATCCGGAAAGTTGCAGTGGCGGCCCACAGGGAGATTTTCATCTTCGAGCTTGCTTTGAGGGCAGGCTCCCCATTGCATGCAGCCACGCACACAGAGGCATGGCAACTCCACCCAGTGATCCCAATACCCGTTATTAAATAACTTGAAATATACTTTCAACTATTAAGCCGCCTAGAACTATAAGTTAAGGTACATTCCTTAATTCAAGGATATTGGGATCTCTGAGTACGCTACAGATACAGGTTCGTCGAGCCGCCGGCAATTGCACAGTTCTAGAACGCTCTGGGGCCGAGGGAAAACTGTAAAAAGGAGTTACAAAAGGCCTCTTCCAGGACCACCCAATGGCCCTTTAATAGAGCCCTTATGGTCCTTAATAGTGGGTATTTGGGGGATAAAAGAGGGTAGTTGAGGGGTCTAGGTTGAGCCTTGACACTGGTTTAGGGTTTTAGAGTTTTAGGGTTTTTGGGCTTAGGGTTTAGGGTTTTCCCCGGCTGAAAAACGGCAGAGGAGGTAATGCTGGCAGTCATCAAGTCCGGTTTCAAAAGGGTTTAGGGGATCCTGCCGAAGGATAGGACTTTTGCAAGGACGTGTACATCCCAAATCCCAAGCCTGAACCCTCCTGTATTCCGGATCTTATTTTTTCAGGCTGCCATGATGAAGGAACCAACCACCCACTGATACCGAAAACTCCAAGCCCTAACGCTGCAATGC